GAAGTCACCTTCGCCGAAGCAGAAAAGAACCCGTGCTGGCGGAAGGCAATGCAGGAGGAGATGACATCCATCACTGAGAACCAGACGTGGAGTCTGGAGGATATGCCACCAGGACACCGAGCCATAGGGCTCAAATGGGTCTTCAAACTGAAGCGCAATGAAAAAGGAGAAGTTGTGAAGCACAAGGCTCGTCTGGTGGCGAAGGGCTACGTCCAGAAGCAAGGAGTGGACTTCGAAGAGGTATTTGCGCCAGCAGCAAGGTTAGAATCCGTTCGTTTCTTGCTGGCAATTGCAGCACATCACTCTTGGGAGGTTCACCATATGGACGTAAAGTCTGCTTTCCTTAACGGAGAGTTGAAGGAGACCGTCTATGTTCGACAACCACCTGGCTTCCTGGATAACGACAACCCTAATAAGGTACTGCGCCTGCACAAAGCACTCTGCGGGCTTCAACAAGCCCCACGAGCCTGGAACGCGAAGCTCGACAGTACCCTACTGTCACTGAATTTCAAACGTTGTGCCTCTGAGCATGACATGTACACGTACGGCCACGGCAAAAAACGACTGATCGTGGGAGTGTACGTCGACAACCTCATAATCACTGGAGGCGACGTGGGAGTCCTCTGAAGGTTCAAGAAGGAGATGTCGAAAAACTTCGAGATGAGCGATCTCGGTGTGCTCAGCTACTACCTCGGCATCGAAGTGCAACAGAACTCTTCCGGCATCTCCATCTGCCAAAGTGCATACGCGAGGAAGCTGTTGGACACAACTGGGCTTGTGGACAGTAATCCTACCAGGACGCCAATGGAGGCCCGACTTCAACTAAGGAAGGCCGGCACTACGACGACAGTCGACTCCACCAATTACCGCAGCATTGTCGAGAGTCTGCGCTATCTGGTAAACTCTCGTCCTGATCTTGCTTATTCTGTTGGCTATGTGAGCAGGTTTATGGAAGCACCTAGGGAGGAGCATCTAGTGGCTGTCAAGCGCATCCTGCGCTATGTAGCCGGAACTAGAGGCCGGGGTGTGAGATATTGTGCAGGGAGTGGAAAGGAGAAACTCAAGCTGGTCGGCTACAGTGATAGTGACATGGCCGGTGACGTTGATGATCGTAAGAGCACCAGCGGAATGATCTACTTTGTCTCAGGCGGCGCGATCTGCTGGCAATCAACAAAACAGAAGGTGGTTGCTTTGTCTTCTTGCGAAGCAGAATACATCGCCGCTTCGATGGCAACAACACAAGGGATCTGGCTTGCACGACTAATGGAAGAACTCATCAGGAGAGAAAGCGATCCACCAATGCTATACGTAGACAACAAAGCTACGATCTCCCTTATCAAAAATCCAGTTTTGCACGACCGGAGCAAGCACATAGAAATCAGATTCCACTACATTCGAGAATGTGCAGATCGAGGGCTCATCAAGATTGATTTCATCCGAACAGAGGAACAACTTGGAGACATTTTCACCAAGTTCCTGGCGCGGGTGAAATTTGAAGAACTACGCTCAAAGATCGGAGTTCAAATAATAAGGTACAGCTTTTAGGAGGAGATTGTTAAATAAAAGCCATGCCTTATTTAGTTACATCTTAATTCACGCGAATGGAGAAGCGTGATTCTAGGAGCCATTGTTTTGGCAATTTGGGCGAAGTCTTCGCCCACTTCTTCTATTTTTGTATATTTGTTTTTTCTATTTTTGTAATTAGATTTGTTATTTAAACCGTTCAACTGAAGTAAAATAAAAACATCGAGTCTTCAGCATTATCAGCGAATCTCTCACTCTCTCTCCTTTTACTTCCGCTAATTTTTCCTTCGAAGAAACCTTCGGCCAATTTTTCGTCCACACTGTCTTCCGAATTGCCAGAGTCAACAAAGCTGACATCTTTGTTGGGTATAGCATTATATCCAAAGCTTACAGAGTTTTTCAACCACACACTAGTCGTGTTATTGTGAGCTAAGATGTTCATTTTGCTGGAAATGAACAATGGAATTGGGAAGAACTAACGAAGGTGAATCAAATTTCTAATGCACCAA